TAGGCTCTTTAAAGTTTAAACTCCTCAAAAGTTGTTTTAGAATTTAGCATATCAAAAAGCAAAAAAAAGTTGCAGGAGGAAAAAGATAAAACTTTTCTTTACCTCGAAATCTGTCCTTCGACATCCACTGATTTGGTTCAAAACATAATTATTAGTGTTTTTAAGCAAGAAATTTAGACTCAGCTACTCCTTAGCCTGTTTTGCTTCGGAAAACAAATGAAGGGATAATATTATTCATTCAACAGTAATACTCGGCGCAGTGTATACATTTCCCAGAAATATTCCATACATATAATAAAGCAATATTCTTTAATCAAGAGTTTTTAGCATTATGCTACTTATGCGTCTTCTGCTCTAAGTCATTTCTGTTTTTCTAAGCAAAAGGTGTGCAACACTACCCATTTTTTGGAAAAAACTTAATAATTCTTACATAACGAAAACCTGCATTAAACCCATTCAAACCTCAAATCCATTTGACACAGTTTCACTGATTTCTCTATAATTTCTTCCATATACGTTTTGAATTATTCCCAAAACATTTTTTTCAATACTCTATGTGAATTTTTCAAAGGAATTCTATTTAAGGAATCTAATTCTATACATGATGACGAATACTCGAAATGGTCTATCTGCAAGTATCATCCTGAAATGCAGTTCTGTAGATGGGATCCTTCAACTAATCCTGGAATTCCTCAAGTTATTGTCGATCCAGAGACCACAACGATGCCATGGAAGTCAGAGAGGACACCATTCATGTCAGGAACAGGAATTGCCAGTAACACAGTTGATCCAGTGAGTACCTAGCAATCTTATTACAGCAATTCTACAGTAAGAAAGATACTCCTAGGCTCCCACCGTCGTCAAATCTTCAATATATGTAGCTAAATCAGACGCGGCACAATGGCAGTACAAAGAAAAGCTTAAAACTTCTCCACCAGCTCTTAAGGAAGAGGTTAACATCACAAAAGAAGTAAGTAATTCGCCATACAGTGTTCTACTCGATAGAGAAAAGTGTGAGGATGTTATGAAAAGAAAGCAACCAAGGGTCTACGATCACTTTACCCTATATATGTTTTTTTAAAGAATAAATCCCGATACG